GAAACGTTCACGGAACATATTTCCAGTTATATTGATTCTTTAACCAAAGACATACCACCCACACACGAGTCCTTTTAGTGTGACACAAACCATTTCCTTCGGGAAAATTGGACGTAAAAATTCCAGACGATGCATTCCTCGTAACATTGGATGTTAGTTCACTCTACGCAAATATCCCACATGACGATGGTGTAACGGCACTTGTTGAATCGTATGACACCCACAACCCTGACGCATATCCAAGCTAAAAAGTAGTTGAAATCTTAACGAGACTTGTACTCAAATTGAACAGCTTTCAATTTAACAATCAGTACTACCTCCAAATCAGCGGCACGGCAATGAGAAGAAAGGCCCCAAACTACGCTAACATATTCGTGCACCATATAAAGTCCAACTTTCTTTCACCTTGTAATGTCAAACCTTTAATCTGTAAAAGCTACCTAAATAAACCATATATTCTTGATTCAGACACATTCAGAAAACGAGCTGCTCAAATTCATACAGGCATTCAATTAAGTGCACCTCAGCATTTATTTTACACGCTCCTACTCTAACACTGAAATAAGCTTCCTTGATGTACTTATTTGAATGGACGATGGTGTGTTGGTAATTAGCGTGTACAGGAAACCTACGGACAGGCAACAATACCTGCACTTCAAAAGCGGCCACCCGCGACGCTGCAAGGCCAGCATTCCCTATTCCCAAGCACACAGATTCCGACGAATCAGCTCCCGCACCGAAGACTTCCACAAAAACAGCACACATATGCACGCAGTACTCCTTCATCCAGAATACCCGCCAGCTATCATCCATGATGCCATCAAAAAAGCAAAAAAGTTGGACCGCCAGACTCTTCTAAACCACCAGAAAGATGCTGACCAGCAGGGGAACAAAAATTTGCTATTAACTTTCACGAGCAGCCCAAGGAACATAAACAAGGTCCTTAAAAAACACTTTAACATAGTATTAGAACAGAGCGTGCGACTATCCAAAACTTTCACTTCTCCTCCTTGTGTGGTAAACAGGTGGCCGAAAAGTATAAAGGATCATTTAATAAATTCAAGGATTGACGTGAAACCTCAAACAAGGTGTTGCCCTGGCAGAAAAAGCAGATGCTTAGTATGCAAACACATGCAGACAGGGACAGTGGCAAAAAGCACCCACTCGTATTTTAAGCACTGGATAAGTGGTGCACTAGACTGACTCGGACAACTTTATACACCTTCTGGAATGTGGGATATGTAACATGCAATCCGTGGGTCAAAGACACTTCATATAAAATTAGATTCACCAACCATCGGGCACATGTACGTTCCCTGCCAGGCCTTCCACTTTCAAAACACAGCACATTAAAAGACTGCAGCTTTGATGACATCAGGGTTACATTATTGGAAAACAATTTTCGAACAATCGGTGAACGGGAACAATTGGAATATTACCTTATCTACAAATTCAACAGATAAAAAACGAAATAAATCAACACCCAGGCACTCTGTCAACGTTACGATCACTAAAAAACGCCAACGCTTCTCTAATCAGTCCTTTGCCCCTAGCCTCCCATTGCGACAATAATATTACCTCCTAACAAAGCTACAAGCGTACGCATCTGACAATATAGAATTGGTTTGCCACTTCAAGCACAGCTGGAACGCACAGATAAGTGGTCCCGGATGTCGTACAGTCTTTTTTTTTCTCTTTCTGTCTTATTTTCTTAACGCACCTTTCCTTTTCTTTCACTGACCGGAGTTAATGCATATAATGAATATTGATGGCGGTGCTGCAATTACCGGCTTTTTCATATCTTCCGACGCCACCATTGTGCACTCGATGTGCTTAAGTGTCTTCCCACCAATATCGTAAATTTCAAAGGTGGACAAGCCGCCAGCTGATTGCACCGGAAGGTGCAATACTTAAACGGTTGTCACCTTGTTTGCTTGGGGGAAGGGTGGGTACGTGAGAGGTATTGTTGGAAATGAAGGCATGGCTCATTTAAGTTCGCCTTACTTTCTTGAGATGCTGTCCCTTTCTAATCCCGTCCTGTTTCTCTTGCTTCTTCTGCTAGATTTTTAATGTCTAACGTTTCTCCCCCTGTTTTCTTTTATTTTTTTTTTGTTTCTCTTTTGTCCCCTTCCCTCCTATCTCGAGAAGCTATAAGAAGACACAGAAAATGTGTAAATATTATTGTGCCCTGAGAACGACGGAGCTTCCGTCGAAACATCGACTGAATAGACAGTTATGTGAAAGCGCATCTACAGTAGACTCGCGATAATTCATACTCTGATAATTCAAACATTTAGTTCACTCAAACAAAATTCAATGTTTTTGTTGGCCCTCTTTTATTTCAATGTATTTTGCCTCTTACTTCAAACTCCATCATTCGGTTAATTCATACTTTTTCCAATTCCATGCCAGAAAATAACTGCACTACTGTTTAAAATTTGAAAGCCTATGTAATCCTAACAGTTTAAAAATGACAAATAAGCACCTTGGGCTTTCAAGGAAAAAGGCTTTGCTAGTAAACAAATATTTGAAACAAAGCACACGCATGGTAAACTGTGATGCTTCAGAACTGGTATAGAAAGCTTTGTGCTGAAGGCACATACCTATTGCACAGTAGTTGGTGATCCCCGATTTCTTTAAAAGGTCTGATTAGCAGTAAATGGCTGATAAACTTGTGGTCCTTACACCTCTGCTTTCTCTTCATTGTGTGCAGTAAAGGTTTAAAAGACTGTAAAAAATTTTAAATGTGATAAAATCAATGTTTTATCATAATGTGTGGTGTCATCTCACCCAGACTCATCTAAGAACTTCTGATAATTCAAACTTCCAAAATTCAGAGGCCCTTTAAAGTCTGAATTAATAAGAGTCGACTGTACTTATATATATATATATATATATATATATATATATATATATATATATATATATATATATATATATATAGAGAGAGAGAGAGAGAGAGAGAGAGAGAAGAAACACAGCTTAGCGGTTGTCTTAATTTTATTACCAACAGTTTCGACCGGTGCACCAGTCTTCGTCAGGGTTTGTATGAGAAAGAATTGTATACGTAAGGGCTCGTTTTTTCATGTTTTGACACAATAATAATGAGATCTAACAGACTATAATACCAAGGAATGCGTAAAGGAAGTTATCAGACGCAATCGTAATGTAAGTATGAAGAATGAAGGGTGGGTGAAAAGATAACTTGCCGTGATCAGGAACCGAATTTGCTACCTTCGAATAACGCGTTTGATGGTCTACCACTGAGCTACCATGGCAGCTATCCCCCCAGCCACTTTATTGTGTTTAGATGTGAATTTAAATGTGGGAGTGTCAGTCAGCACCACTTGTAGCCATGGTGGCGAGTGTGGCATACTCTTTATGAACCTGTTTGGCGTCACGTAGCACGTGAACTTATGAGCTAGCAGCTGACCAATAGTCGCTCGTATACAACTTAACGGCACCAAGTCAGCCAGTACGAGGCCCTCGTTAATGAATAAGGGAAAGAAGAGCATACCCTTGGGCTCGTTTTTCCGTGTTTTGACACAATACTAATGAGATCTAACAGACAATAATGCCAAGGAATGTATAGAGAAAGGTATTAGACCCAATTGTAATGTAAATATGAAGAAAGAAAAGTGGGTGAAAAGATAACTTGCTGTGACCAGGAACTGAACCTTCGAATAACGCGTTCTATGCTCTACCACTGAGATACCATGGTGGCTATCCCCCCAGCCACTTCATTGGGTTTATATGTGAATTTGAACGTTGGTTTGTCAGTCAGTGCCACCTATAGCCATGGTGGCGAGAGAGAGAGTGTGCGTGCGTGCGCGTGTGCGTGCGTGCGCGCGTGTGTGTGTGTGTGTGTGTGTGTGTGTGTGTGTGTGTGTGTGAAAAATATGGAAGAGCTATACGAGTACCCCCCCCCCCCCCCGTGAATATGAAAACTGTCCTGCTGTTGCTAATAGCATATTTAATGTTTGAAATTAATTGCAAACTAGGTAGATGGCGGCCCATACGTATGCTTGACACATATATTTTTTAGTTTTTCTAAATTCTTGCATCGTGCAAAAATTGAGAACAAGCATTTTAACTCGGATTTTAACAAGCATTTTTAAATTGAGAACAAGCATTTAAGGAACAAGTGGGCAGTTTTGGATGGTGCTCATAATGTCATTGATTTGCATACGTCATTATTTCATCATTGAGATGCAACCTGTGCTGGTCAAAATAAGGCAACTAACAAAAAAGGTCGCTTTTGTGCGGGTGCCTGAACTATATATATGGCAAGCCTTTCCTGCTAATTTTTGTTCGGAAGTATGCATCAATTCATATCTGGTTTTTAGGAAAATTTTCACCGTGGAAGTGTATCCTTCTCATTGATTGATTGATTGATATGTGGGGTTTAACGTCCCAAAAGCACTATATGATTATGAGAGAGGCCGTAGTGGAGGGCTCCGAAAATTTCGACCGCCTAGAGTTGTTTAACATGCACCCAAATCTGAGCACACGGGCCTACAACATTTCCGCCTCCATCTGAAATGCAGCCCCAGCAGCCGGGATTCGATCCCGCGACCTGCGTGTCAGCAGCCGAGTATCTTAGCCACTAGACCACCACGGTGGGGCTGTATCCTTCTCATGGCTCGCTATTTGTTAGACTGTACTCCAAGATGCGGAACTATGCTACACTTTGTGAATTTCGTGACATCTTTTTTAGTTGTTAATGTGCATTACTTCTGCTGTTACGCATCTTTAAAAAGCGTTTTCCAAATCACATGCACACAGCAAAATTTTTTTCTTTTCAATTTCGTATCATCAAGTTAAACAGACAATCCAAAATGTTAAAATGGCTGCCACTGATCTGTAGTACTTTGTATATGAAATATTGTACATGTGTATACTTTCATGAACAATAACAAGGCGTAGCACTGAACTAGCACAAAAAAAGCTAGCTGTTTTTTGAACTGGCATGTGAATAGTGTGTGACATTTTGTTTGTAGTTTCTGGAGCACTGCAAGACTACTCACGCCATGGGTCGTGTGGGCACAACTGAGGAGGTGGCACGTTCTATCGCCTTCCTGGCCTCGGATGATTCCTCTTTCATCACTGGCCAGACGTTGGCCATCGATGGAGGGCGCAGCATCATGTGCCCACGATAAATCCTTCCATACACTGCCAACAGCTTAGACGTCAGCCCTCTCTTGAAATGGTCACTTTGATATAGCGCTGAAGACGATGGCGATAGCGGACGCTTGTTATTTTGTGTAAACTTCAGCTTCTATTCGTACTATTTCTGAATAAATATATATTTTGTGAGCGAAATTGTCAACGTATATTTCTTGGCCATAAAGATGTGTTGTCGTTTTGGCATCCTGTTATAAAACTTCTTGCCTTGCCCTAACCCTATGAGTGTTTTTGCTGTATCGTTTGTGTACAATTGTGGTTTTGTAGTGATTATAATAGAGGCCCCATAACAAATTCTAGTTAGACACTGGTAGTTGCGTGTTCGAAGAAGAAGAGCATTATATGCCTTCAGAATTATTTCAAGCTATTGATTACGAGCTGAGAAAACCAGTATTTTGATGCGGCCAGAAACTACGATAAGAGGAGCCGAGCTTGAAATTCTTCCCACTCGCCTTGCATAGCTTTTGCAAGTCAAATCCACGGCAGTTAAATCTCTTCTCTATCTCTGGCATCCGAGCAAATGGTCAGGTGCGCATGACGTCCCTGAGCAAGCCTGTTAGCCCCAAGCACGCGGATAGCATTGTTCTGTTGACCAGTGTCGTATTGCGGTCTACTGCCTGTTTCTGCTGGATGGACGCCTCGTTGTGCACGTTTCAAAACGCTGACTTAGATGAGCATATTAAGTGCCCGAACGCGCAAGATAATCTAGTTTCTAGGGCTGGCGTCTGCTCGATGCGCTAACTGTGGGGACACAAACGCATGCAAAACGCAGGCACATTAGCCCGGCATCTCGTTGCAATTCACGGGAATAAAATGAAAAAGACGTGCACATTCTCTTTTTGTGTACCATTATTTATCTCAAGGTTTATTCATCTATTCAAACAAGAAATTACACAAACCACACATATCGTGTGAAATAATATTCGCCGTGTCATGTGCGACTGTTGGTAACGTCAGAGCACAGTCGTCTACGTGGAGGACCGACGTCACAGCACTAGTTTACGTAGGGCGATTCTTTCGTCGACGCCATGCCCTCATTCTATGGGCATGCACCCGTGAAACGAAAGGCAAGCAGCGTTTATCTTGAAATTTGACCCCATTTCCATGGCACGTAGCGTTGCAAGTTTTGGCAGAACTGATTGTGAACGCCCCATGCATGTATGCATTGCGCTCGTCCACTCAAAAGCATCGATTACTGGCATGATTTTGCGAAAAGGTCACTTGTTCAGACGACAATGCTTGTTTCAAAACGGCACGGCTTGCGAAGGCTGGCCGCGTGACGTCACGCTTCTTCCTTTCTTCTTCCATGCAAAACTGTCAAACCTGGTAAGGTGCCCTTGAACTACAATTGACTTTAACCCCGCGTGAATTCTGTGTGATGAAATAGAATATATAAATAAAATAGAGATGATGAAATGAAATATAGCCAGCACCAACGTTTATAAAACCTGTTCAGTTGCCAAACTCTCCACCTCTAACGTACACTGGCGAAAACTTTCTTCCAGCAGGCTTTTCGCAGCAGACGACGAAGCACGAGCGAACTTCGTGCATGAAGCTGATATCTGCGCAAATATTGTTTGAAAACGCAAGGATGAGAACGACTAGTTTTACTATTTAGGTAGTCGGGGTCAATAGATTAGCAGGAATGTCTGAAAGCGCATTATGTGGTGTTGTGTATTGCGTGAACTACGTACCCAGGGATCGGTGGATGATGCTGCGGCTCTCGTCAAGTTCAGCGTGACAGGCATTGTTGTTAATTTTAGAGGTGACCAGCTGTGATGACAGTTTTTCTTAGCTAACGGAAAAAACTCCAAAGGTTCTGGTAGGTCTGTGAAAATATGTAACGGCAGAATTTTCTTGGAGCCGCGCGAGTTGTGCCACGAGAGAGATCGAGTGGCCATGGTTGCGCAGTGGGATCTTCTCACATCTTTCGCATTTCTTATTACAGTTTGTGCTAATTGCTGAAGAAACGATCAAGTAACATCGGTAACGTTGTTACCTAACGTTGTTGGTAACGTTGTTGAGCAGATGGGCTATGTGGCACAGCATATTCGCAGAGATCAACCTTCGCAAGCGCATGATCAAGTTATGCATGTTTCGCCACACACTTCTGTAGCGATCAACATAGAGTTTCCTAAAATTAACTAGAGGGGACTCTGACGCTGCAATCGTTCAGCGACTAGAGTCATTGGACCATGGGAATGATGGGTAGTACACACATTTGCCTAGTCTTCGTACTTGCGGCTTAGTTTATTGCTGTGTTTCGGTTTCAGTTTGAAAGAAAGATTCAACCCTTTTGAACTTCGTGACCCGATTTGGAAAGGTAAGTCTATAAGAATAAGACGGTGAAGCGCAACCACTGAACATTTGCTAATATTTCTTTCGTGAGAAAACAGCACCAAGCCACTCGAACACGCACGGAGCCAAAAGCAGGCCAGAAGTACAAATATTACACAAATGTGTGTACTACCCATCATTCCCATGCTCCCTAAAGCGCCGTGCGTTGCAGCTCCCACAGAGTCACTGGAAAAATTTTGAAGTATCGCCCCTGTTTTCCACGCGCCGCCGGCGTCGTAGAGCAACAGTGATTGGGTTATTTGTGTCACGTGACGTTCTCTCTCCATACTCTTTCCAAGCACGTTGGGCGCCCCCGCGCAGAGACGTTTCTTTCGCTGTTGAGCGAGCATTGCGGATGGATTTCAACGTGCCAGCTACGTATTTTGGACGGATTATCAGCAAGCACACGTGCCAGAACCATGCCTGGCTGCTGCGCCTTCGGGTGAAGCAACCTAACGGAGTCTGGGAAAGCATTTTTTTGCATTCCAACTGGAAAAAACTACCAGCAACAACGTTTGGCATGACTGCACAGAATCGGCCACAAGAACTTTGTGTCTTCGAAGAACACTGGCTTGTGCGAGGTAAGTTGGTGAAGTCTCCAAGTGCAATAAAAGTAGCATTACAAGTTTGACGAGTTAGTGATAATTAATTTTGCTCTCCAGAGTATAGTAACAGATAGGTGAGATAACTGGTACAACAGCTCGTGTGTGTTCGCTTGTGCAATAGAGTCTTAGTACTGTTGTATGAGAGATGCGGCGGTTTGCTGGGCGTGCTCTAATGCGGTTAAAATATTTACCCGTTCTGTTTGCACGGCTTGTTCTAGCAATTGCTAGCTACGCCCATACGAAGAGAGATTTATTGTGTGAAGCGTTTAACCAGTCGGCATTGACGGCATGACAAGCCTCCAATTAATGGGACAGAAATGCAACTGAGTGCGCATGAAATACAAGTGATTTGCGATTTACGTGATCATATTGCGGGTATTTATTCCATAACTTTGTGACAATGGTTAGCCGGCCAAGAATGGCGAAAAAGTGGAACTAATATTAGTGTGTCTGCAGAATGCGTTTCGGGAAAGTTGGTTTTGTTGTAAATACAAAGTTTGAACGGAAAGGTGCCAGTGGTTTCCTCCTTTTTCGTCAATATATTTCGCCTTTATATTCACACTTATAAGATTTGTGAAGAAAAAAACGCATCGTTGACAAGCAACATCGCCACCGCTTGAGTACTGGGTGCTGGGCTTTTCTCGCTCGGCTCATGCTGATAATCGCTGGCATCTGCTTGACCGATGCTCTTTCCCGATCGTGTTTTCAACGTAGGGCCACCGCAACAATCGCCAATAAACCCCTTTTCAATTGCTGGAAGGTGCTGACATTCCCTGTTGCCTGAACCTGGGTGCTGCCATTCGCCGTCGCCTAACCCTGGAGCTGCGCAACCGGACGCTACCTCCCATCATGGCCACCAACATCGCGCAACCTGGCTCTACCACTTCATCCCCCAGCAACCCCGGCGTTCTTTGTTTGCGAGAGTCCAAGGTCTTTAGCAGAGCTGATGAGACCGATGTGGAAGACTGGTTCGCTAACTACGAACTGGTGAGCGCAAACAACAAGTGGAATGACGCGGACAAGTTGACTAACATCATCCTTTACCTCACTGATGTGGCCGAAATGTGGTATAACAACCACAAAAACGACATTACGACGGGGTCCATCTTCAAAACGTCAATCGCTGACGTTTTGGGCCGACCCGCTGTCCGCAAGTCCAGAGCCGAACAACGCTTGTGGACTCGCGTACAGAAGCCATCTGAATCGTTCACCAGTTACATCGAAAACATTATCGGTCTTTGGAACCGTGTGAACACCGCCATGCCCGAGTCTGAGAAGATTCAACACATCCTCAAAGGGATAAATCACGGCGCACTTCAGATGCTCCTGGCGCGCAATCCTGCCACCGTTGCCGAACTTGTGACTTTATGTCAAAGTTTTGATGAGTTGAGAAAGCAGCGCGCCCTGACTCGGCCATTTTCCTCACATGCCGACTCACTATTTAGTCTTGCATCTGTTCCTGATTACTCACCAACCCTGCAAGAGATTAAAGACTTTGTGCGTGAAGAAGTAGCTCGGCAGCTGTCGTTGATTCCCTTCACGCAGCAGCCGCCGTCCTCTGGTCTGCCCTCACCACTCCGCGACGTTATTGCCAAAGAGGTAGCTCAGGCTGTTCCTGTCGCTGCCCACCAGCAGCCTGTGGCCTTGCCTGTTCCCCATGCGCCGGCTATGCAGCCCGTGGCCGCGCCTCTTACTTATGCCCAGGTGCCACGCAGCAGACCCCGCCAGCAGCATTTGCCACCCATGTCTGCACTTGCTCCCCACTCTACCCCTCTTTCGACACCTTGGGCCGCACCGCGTGTCAGCAATTCCTGGCGCACTGCTGACAATCGACCAATCTGCTATGCCTGTGGTACTCCAGGACACGTGGCATGATATTGTCGTCATCGCTTCCAGTCCCAACACAATGCTACTTGGCCGTTACTGTATGACCCACAGCCCACGCACCTACCTGCTCCCTACCCATCACCGCAGTATGGCTACACTAACCTTCCCGAGTCTCAGTCACCCCAGCTCCCATCTCGTCCGACTCACTCTCCCCACTTGCCGTCTCCTTGCAGGCGATCCCTGTCCACAATGCGTCCCCGACCCGCTTCCTCCAACCGGGAAAACTGAACGCCGCAGTTCCAGAGGCAAGAACTGCCCCGTCGTCGAAATGCCCAAGTCTTCGCACTTCACCTGCTAACGTC